TCACATAGAAAGCATAGGAAATGACGTCCAAAAAGGCTTGTCTATCGTCCGGGTGTCTCAACAAGTTTTGCTGAATTATGGGGTATGCCGTCGGGTCACGTGACTTAAGTCTCACAAAACCGGTGGCTTTGGGTCGGGTTAGTACGGGTATGACTTCCAGATTAGAGTTAGCTATAACCCCCTCCATATATGGACGCCATTCCTCCGGACGTTTGTCCAAATAAAATATATTTTCAAATCCCAATCCATTAGCCGCTATAATACCTGAGTTTAGATTAATGTCCGGGTAAGTCCAATCTGGGTTGACACTTGAGTTGAATAGTAAATACAATGTGGGAAGTTGTGCGAGTGGGCCGGTATGTTTAAGAACTGCATCGTATAATTGTTGCACATTAATCTCAGCTCCAGATAAATTGGTTGTATTTTTGATAGGCATTGATATGACGAGAGCCACGTGGTCTTGTAGGTTATCACCGACGGGTAGGTCAGACCAAATTGGCGATATATCAAACTCTTCTAAGTGCTCCCGGTGCCCAATGCCTGATAGCATTAAAATATGTGGGGAGTTATATGTTCCTATAATTAAACATATCATAATAAGTTATATTTAGTATATTAGTCAAAAATTATTACTTTTCAATACTAAATTAAGGTACTATTTGAAATAGAATATAATAATTTTCTTTGTTAATAACTGTACCTGCTGATAATATAGTCTCTTTAGTTGCCTGAACACGATATTCTCGGTTCCCTTTTGTGAACTCCACTCCGACTGCTTTTGGTTGATCACCATACTGTCCACCATATGACTGACCGTCGATAAGCACTTTAGTGACAAATGCCCCTGTTAATATATTGAGTTGAGGGCATATATTAGACTCCAAGTATGAGTTAGCAGTGGACTGTCTCATCCCGTCTTTGATAGTCATCGACATAATACTCGTGCCGTACTGTGTCGGCCCATTCACATCAATTATAGGGTATCCCAACTCATGCAATGATTGTTGCCATTGTAATAGTAATGGGTCGGGGTTGGGTGGTGTGGACACACCCACGGGTCCACTGCGGCCGTGATATATGGGATCGACATTAGGATCGGTATTATTCTCAGATTTCTTGAAATACGGCAACAATTGTTCAAAACTCCAACCGTTGGCACCGAAATCACGAGCAATACTGTCGTAATACTTACGGTTCCCTCTGTT